CACAGATATGTTTACTTTTTGCATGTATTTCCGGATTCATTATATAGTTTGACGAATTTCATTTTTAAAGACTAGCACATTTGGGTGCCATATTTAAGCCCTGATAACGTTTATGGCATGTCCACGTACTAAAGTTGTTCTATTTATGTTTTTTTCTACAATTGTTTTTTCTGGTAATTAACACATATCAGTAATGAAGGAGTTTGGGAGAATATTTAACTTTTTTGTTTACCATTCGATAGGGGTCACGGATTTTGAAAGATATTAGCTCGAATCCATATCAGAGGTGTTTCACACTTTTCGGAAATTGTATCCCTCTTCGGTAAAAATTCAAATATAGGATTTGTCCGATCAGTTATTTTCAAATCCCTACATAAGAACTCAATGAATACGTGTTTCAGCGATTTTGGAAATCCCACCCTCAACTGTAGTGATTGTTTATTATTGAATCAGCTTCACTTATTTCTGAGATTTCTGTGAATATTTATGAGATGCATTTTTCGCAAAATCCACCGCTTTTAGATGGAAATGCGGGTCAAAAGATTAATGAACGAATGTTTATTTTCGATTTCAAGGTTTTCACAAGACATATAATATTTGATGGATTTCAAAATAATGTTTAAGTATTAACTTATTTTTAATGTAAAAAATAACTAAAGATGTTGAGTTTAAGATAGTACGGTTAGGCTTAAATCGTCTACGTACGGTTAATGGGTGAAAATGCACAAAATAAGGCAGAGGAATACACACTAGTTTTAAATAACGTATTATGGGTTGATTGTTTTAGCTATAATTCAATCATATTTGTATTTATGGTAACTCTTTAGGATATAAATGTTCAAATATTAGACAGTCGAAAACGACCGTAATAAGGAAATTTTCTTGATTACGTTGCTCCTCTTCAAATCTCAAATGTTTTTAAAAATATATAACTCACCTTTATACGCTTGGCCCACTCGCTATCACTTATCGCAATAATATCCAAACAATAGTCGCACACTTTACGGATCTCCTCATTTTTGTCATGCATAAGATCGATGAGATAAGCTGGCGATTCAGTTTCCTTAATCATGTACTCTCGTGTGCTTTCGTGTCGCAGAATTTGCTGGAACACAAAAATGATCTGTAGCACAATCTCATCATCCTCTTGCTTGGCCTTTAGCAGTTCGATTAATGATATCACGACCTTAGCGCGACAGAAGAGGAGTGCACAAAGCTCATCGAAAGCACACGTGCCCAGATAAACGATAGTGTCGAGCACAACATCGTCAAGTCTTGCGCAGGGCACTAGCACTTGTCGTATCCAGGGTATTAGTTTATGATTCTGCAGTATTTGCGAGTAATCTAAGTCAGTTAGCGCTAGGTTACCTAATATACCTAAGCACTCCACAATGAAGGACTCATCGTCACAGATCGTTAAAATGCGCGCTAAGTCCCCTACGTATTCAATGTATTGTAGTTGTAGTGATTCGTGTTGCGAAAGGTTGCGCAGTAGTTTCATCAATAGGGCATCTTGGTACTTAAAAGCTCGATCCATGAGACTGTGTAGACGCTGACCTTCAACCATAATATGGGCATTGCGTCGGTTCAATGACAAATTAATACAAAGCGCTATGAGATCTAGATCAACCTTTACATTTAGATTCAAAATGATAGCATCTGTGGCCATTTGTACGCACTCTGTGTGCATAAACATAGACTTGACCTTATCGTCGAGGCTCATGTGGTAAAGTATTTTAACCGCAACTCCGTGATGCTTCTCGTCGTTAATAAACATAACCAACAAAGGCAAATAGCCATCAGCAACCATTTTAAGACGCATTGTAGCATCAAACGACAAATTAAATACTAGCTTAAGTGTTACCTGCACCAGATCTGTATGCGGGTTTTGAAAAAGGCGTGGTAGTTTCGACACAATGTTTAACGCGTACATCTCATCCTTGTTGTCGCCTACAATGGAAAGCTTCTTAAGAAATGTGGTAGCCAACATAAGTAAATCAATATTCTGACGATCAAGTGCCTTGATCAGCATCTTAACAATGTTCTTTCGTCTCATTTTCTCCTCAAGCTTGACGTTCTCGGCCATGTTTAACAACAGATAGAAAGAAACCCGAAGCAACTGTTCCTGTTTCTTGGCAAATATCTTAAGTTGTTTATTCAGTCGATCGATTTCCTCTTTTTTTATTTTAGGGTCATTTTGATCCAATGAATTAATGCATTGCGTTCTTGCCTCAACGGGATAAACGGTTTCCAATGCATTTGCACTACCCCTGGCAGAAAGCGCCTCATGATAACTGCAGTTTAGTATTTGATTTCTCATAAGCGAAGAGGAATTGGTTCCGTGAAAGCTACTCCAATTTCCCGACTTAGGACGCTGTTTTAGCTCTGGTATACGGCGACGTGGCGGCTCCATCTGGAAAAAAATAAGATTATTAAAACCAAAGTCAATTGAGGTTTACCTTTTGAGCTTTTCAATCCATGCAACTTGCTGTTTCTAATAAGTACTGATTCTTTTTTCTCTGTCATGAAATAATTATAACAAACTTTTCGTTAACCCGGATGTTACTAATCGTCTAGTATAAGTCGAAATCGTCCTCCAGCTTACGAGACTTGTGGTTCATGGTCCCGATGGACATTTCCTATGATCCCGGAACATGCAAAAATAGAATGTACCCTGAGCTTCGGCTCTATGAGAGCCGTGCAAGCAATTATGTTTGTATATGTGTGAATATACATACATAACAGCATATTTGAATGTGTTGCTATTCACTGCTCTGGCTTTAGCTGGCAAATAAATAAAATTTGTTAATTTCTAGCGCTGATCATGCATGACCTATCCCAAATATGTATTCACATACGAAATATCAAAAACTTTAAATCTTGCCTAATTTCCATCGGACAGGCAGGCAACCAACACACTAACGCATAAATACAAAATTGCGCAAGTGTGCGTGTATGGCGAGCCCAAACAATTTTGAATGCACAAATGCCAACGCTTAGGTACCCTTAACAACGATAACGAGCTAAAATGCAAGAATTTCGCATCGACGTGGTAAACGCTTTCTTTATTTCATATTAATTGTCCCTTCAAATGGGAAGAAATGCATCCGAAATTTGAGCAAAAATTGAAATTGTGCGCATTTTTGCTTGTGCGGACACATACATGTAAACGATCCCTACCTATAATGAGAGAGAGCACTGAGAGTAAGCCAAACAGTTTCCTGTAGTGGGAGCGAGATAAAAAACAGCGATGGCGCTCTATCGATCAAATCATATGGATGAGAGAAAGCCAAAGCAGTTTCCTGTAGTGTGAGCGAGATAAAAAACAGCGATGCCGTTCTACCACACAAATCATATGTATTTGCTACTTTCTTGCTGTCTGAGCATGTAGCGTGTCTCGAACCCGAACAAAAACGAAGACGACCTGCCGACAATAAAAGCTTGGCCTCATTCTTTTACTCTAGTTGTTCAGTCTATACGTTCTATGGTTAGTGATACTAGTCAAGACAAGAAATAAAATTCTTCCAAATGTAACGTCATAATATATGATGTTGGTGTGCCGTATGCGTAACCCATGGCTTTGGCATTCAAATTTTCTACCTACTGGCGCCGGGTCTCAGTTCTGCAACAACAATTTAGTACCCAAATTGTGTTGTTGTTTCTACGCCTTGTATAAACGACAGAAAAACCAGCAACAAACACAGCGGCATTATTTGTCCCTGTTCTTTGAACTGAGTTTCCTATGTCCTCGAAGTCTCACACCAACTTTTCAGCGATCAAAACAGACGATGAGAAAAAATGGGGTTTCATGCGCACTGTTGTTGTTTTGCAAATGAATTGTTGTTGCTTCCTATTATAAATGAGCTATATTTTTTGTATTTGACGTTGCGTTTGCAGACCAACCTAATCGACCTTCCGCCAGTTTTAAAATGTCTCTGTTTATTACTCAATGACACAAATCATAGGTATTTCTTGCTCTTTTGCTCTCTGAGCAAGTGAACGAGTCTCAGACCCGAACAAAAACAAAGGCGACTTTGAACCAGAAATCAGAAAAATGCATTGCCACATGCGTTTCTTCTAACGGTCTAGTCTATATGTTGTATGGTTAGTGATTCTTGTCAATTGACTCATTCAACGGTGGTTGATGATTGCATATACGACTGATGGGGATACTTGCCAGACACAAACCTTCAAAGACAGTTTTCTAAAGGACTTGCAAAGTGTCTGCGAGCTTGATGCGTCCAACTGCCAGACATTAAAAAAAAATATCCGTACCGAGGAGGAGGCCAATCCTATCAGACTGGTGAATAGTTTCGTCCGCAACTGCCGCACTCGCGAGCAACCTTAAATCTGACGTGTCGATTTCCGGGTTTCCGGTTTTGCACAGAAAAAAGATTTTTAGATTTATGGTGCATTGGTTTGCTGGTCCAAACAAGGAAATTCATAAAAATCTTCAGAACCGCTTGCAAGATGAGAGTGCTGCTGAAGGTGCTTCAAGAAAATGAAATTCGTACAAGGCACAGATTAGCAAAAGTTTGTATGCATGTAGGGTTTGCATATTGCGTTTGCAACCTAGCTGTATTTCGGGTAAAAGTAAATGTTTTTCTTCGGCGGCGCTGATTACACAGTAACAGTTATAAATTATATGTGTTTCTTCTCCTTACTTGTGTGCACCGGTCTTATTGTCAAGATAAAATCTGATTCGTTTATTGGATTCTCCTCTTTGAAGCGAACAGACGTGTTTTTTTTTTGTGCTCTCCGTTTTGTTTTGATTTTAATAAAACACTGGCGTTTTAATATTTATGTCTATATATAAAACTGTTTGTCCTGACTGACTGATTGGTGATCAACGCACAGCCCAAACCATAAGAGCTAGGATGCTGAAATTTTCAGTGTAGTTGCCTTATGTGATGTAGGTGCACGTTAAGACGGGGTTTCCACCCGCAAGTGTGGAAAAATCGCGAAAATCGTTTGTATGTAACTTTTTTCTTTACGATCCGATCGGCCCCAAACTTATTTTCAAAGATCTTTGTTCAAATTCATTTGAGGGGTGTTTCACACTTTTCGAAAAATCCGTTCCTCCTTGGTGGAAATGGAGGTCAAAGATTTGGTGAGTGACGTTTCACGCTCAAATTCATTTCCAAAGATCTATAAGAAAAATCATTTGAGACGTGTTTCACACTTTTTGCAGAATCCAAACTTTTTCGGGTGGAATGAGATTTAAAGATTTTTTGTGCGAAGTTTAAAGTTGTGTCCGATTTGTTTCAAACTTTTTTTCAAAGCTCTACATAAGAACTTAATGAATACGTATTTCAGCGATTTGGAAAATTCCACCTGCAACAGTGGTAAATTGGCGGAAAACGGTTGTATGAAAGTTTTTTGTTTACCATCCGATCGGCCCCCAAACTCATTTTCAAAGAACTATGTTCAAATTCATTTGAGGGGTGGTTCACACTTTTTGAAAAATCAATCCCTCCTTGGTGCAAATGGGGATCGAAGATTTAGTGGATGACGTTTTGTGCTCAAATTTATTTCCAAAGATCTATAAGAAAAATCATTTGAGACGTGTTTCACATTTTTCGCAAAATCTAAACTCCTTCGGTGGCAAATGCATTTCGAAGATTTTTTTGGTGAATTTTAAGTTTTGTCCGATTTGCATAAAAGTTGTTTGATTCCCGTCCGATCATTTTCAAAATCATTTTCAAAGCTTTTTGAAAACATTGATTTTATAACTTACGTGAAGGTAACGGGCAAGGCCGGGTTATACCCGCTAGTATTTAATGTATTTATATTATTCTGTTTGCCTTCTCGGTTTATTTTTTTTATTTTATCGCGAGTGCATGCTTGTGGCCTGTGCATTTTATCATATAAATATTGTTACTTTTAAATTTGTGATCTTGTGCAATTGTGTTGCGCTATTAGCTCTGTGGGTAAGCTCTTGTTGTTGTTTATGCTTAACTGCTCATCGCCTCTCTTGGTGTGCAAGATTTCGTGAGCAAGCAAGCAATCTATAAATAGACTACTCTCTCGCACTCTCGCGCTCTCTCAAATTTTTTCAATTTGTGCTTTGATCTTTTTCTACTTTACTTTATGTCGCTTGTTGGTGCTCTATACGCTATTAATCTAAATAACTCTCTTTTAACATTTGGCTGCGTTATTACAGTAGAGAACCATAATAACGAACCATAACATTGTATGTTTTAAAAAAACTTGCCAAATGCAAATTACGGCAAGTCAATCCAGCATACCTTGTTGGCTATGTGATATTGTCGTGCATTCTAAATATGCGGGTTACACTGGCCAAGTGGGGGATGCTATTGCCAAACGAAATGGTTTGCACTATAGTTGCGACTCGTGTAGGGAGGTGGAGTGGCTTTAGAAGTCTGATTGTTGGTTTTCGTAAACTAAACGATCAGCTCACAGCCCTGGATACCCAATTTAACAGCCCAAAACTGTTGGATGCGTCTCCAGGGCCTAAAAAGCCCACTCCCTGTGATTTTCCGTTGCCTAATACCGTTCAGCCTCCGGCTGCAATTCAGCAGCCTACTATACCGATTACACAGCAGCTCATCTCGTTTGTTACCCCGGTAGCTGCGAGATCTGCTGTGGACACTGATTCTGTCCCGAAATGTGTGACATCGGCACGAGAAAAACCAGTCGAATTATCCGTATCGTCCGCTGTCGTAGAAGTTCCGAAAGGGCGACAGCAACAATTAAATTTAGAGAAGCCGCTAGAAGGCTCGTCGTCCGGAATACCGGCTGTTTTAGGTACCACAGCTAATAGTGTTCCCTCTGTCCTAACTGTGGCGCCTTAGCCTCTAGTGGGTGTTCCACCGAAAAGACATTTTTGTTTCTAGGCTAGTCCCTCACTTCTCATCAGATGATGTAAAAGCCTTTATACAGGCAAAACGGTAGAGAAATTTCAGAAATTTATTTTAATATTGCATCCTTTAAAATAGGTGTTCTGCCAGAAATATTTACTAACATTTGTTGTAAAGAGTTTTGGCCGGAAAACTTAATAGTTAAAGAATATAAAGCCAAAAATAAAAAACGGACTCCTATTTTATTACCACCTGTTTCTAGTGGCGCAACAACTTTAGTTGCTGCGTCAAAAAACTAAATTCTTCTTTCGAGCTTGCTTACCAGAATGTTAGAGGTCTTAAATCTAAACTTGTTAACCTGTATTTAGAGTTTATTGCTTTTAATTTTCAAATTATCGCTTTTACTGTGACCTCGCTGAAGCTTGACATCTCAGACTCTTCAATTTTTACCTTCAAATACACCACTCACAGATGTGATCGAGCTTCCCGTATCGGAGGAGGAGTACTCATAGCTGTGGAGTCTGGTCTTTCGTCGGAACGCATTGAACTTCCCATCTCAGAGATTGAGTTGGTGGCTGTGAGAGTTGTATTTGGAAGTTTTTCCATACACCCTTTTTATATACCCCCTCTATTTAACTTATCCACTTATCAAACCAATTTTAATGCTATTAAATCTATCTCCTCCCTACTTTCTGAAAGGGATCTTTTAGTAGTTCTTGGGGACTGTAATCTCCCTAATGTCGATTGGTCATCGTCATCAGACTCAAACTTTCTGTTGCCGGCTTCGTCAAACGAATTTATTAATGGTCTACATGAAATGTCCTTACAGCAGGTTAATCGTGTGCGCAATTCAAGAAACAGATCTCTTGATCTAATTTTCGTGTTGGATTCGTTCGACAGAGTTGTGCACAGGATATGGTCATTGATCTACCAGCCCGAGTCCCTATCAAGGAATCGGAATTAGCTGAATGTTTTTTCCGAAAAGCTAATTTTCATAAACTGAATGATCGTATTCTGCAAGTCGACTGGTCCCAACAGTGCAATTGTGCAGACATTGATGTTGGCATTAAGCTATTTAATGATGTCTGCGTTCCTCTTGATCACCCAGCGAGGCCTTATAGGTCTCCCTGGTTTTCAAGTTAACTTATCAGATTAAAAAATGTGAAGTCGAGGTGTTATAAAATGTTTAAGAAATCCGGACATCACTCTGATTGCTCCCGCTATGCAGTTGTCCGATCAAATTTTTCTACTCAAAATTCCATCTGCTATAAGGATTACCTTCGCCGTTGTCGCCTCCAGTTTTCTCATAATCCTAAGCAATTTAGTAACTTTGTCAATTCTAAACGAAAGACATCTGTTTTGCCTTCTTAGGTTAAGTTTGCAGAAGAGAGCGCGAATACTGATCCAGGCATAGCCGATCTGTTCGCAAACTTTTTTCAAACTACCTACTCCTCCTCTAGGTATAATAAAAATCAGTCTTATCCTTATCAGTTACAGAGGTCAAACAGCATCTTAAATCCCATTATTACGGAAAGTTCCCTTCTCAGCGACCTTAACACTATCATGCCGGTTTACACACGGATGGTGTTCCTACTTGTGTGCTCAGGTACTGTGCTGCAGCATTATGTAAACCTGTGTTAAAACTTTTTGAATTGTCCGTGAACACTTCATCTTTTCCGACCATTTGGAAGGAATCATACATTATCCCTCTCCATAAGAAAGGAAGTAAGTCCGATGTCGAATACTATAGAGGTCTTTCCAAATTATTCGCTATACCTAAAGCTTTTGAGAGAATAATAACATCTCAACTGCAATATTTATGTAGTTCTATCATTTCACCTTCCCAGCATGGGTTCGTGAAGCGCAGATCTACAACCACTAACCTTCTTGACTTTACTTCGCTTTTAATTGATGGGTTTAAGAAAAGGATGCAGACTGACGTCATCTACACTGATATCAGTAAGACTTTCGACTTTGTAAACCACTGCTTGCTGCTTCATAAATTATGCCTTCTCGGCTTCCCAGTCAACCTCTGGAACTGGATTTCAGAGTATTTGCGTAACAGAGCCCAAAATGTTCTTTTCAGAAATTCGTTTTCTAAACGAATTCAGGTGACTTCCGGTGTTCCTCAAGGTAGTCATCTTGGCCCGCTACTCTTTACTCTTTTCACTGATGACCTTCCCTCGATACTGTCTCACTCTCGAGTACTAATGTATGCTGACGATGTGAAGTTATGCCTTGCATATAAATATATGGCATCATGTTATCTCTTACAAGCTGACATTGATGCGTTTCAGGCTTGGTGTCTAGCCAACCTCTTAAACTTAAACATTAAGACAGAATTGAATCCGTTCAGAAACAATTCTTGTTGTTTGCCCTTCATAGTTTAAATTGGGATCCTCGTGTGCGGTTATCGGCATACTCCAGCAGACTTGTGATGATTAACCTTCCTTCCTTAACTAATCGTAGAACCATGCTGGGTGTAATATTTATCCATTAATTAATAACTGGTGAAATTGACTCTTCTGTGTTGACTAGCCAATTAAATTTCTCTATCCCTACTAGACTAACACGTAATTTTACACCCTTATCGCTTCAATTTTGCTTAACTAATTATGCCTTGCATGAATCGTTCAGGGTTCTCTATGATGACTATAACAAGCATTACAGACTATTCAGACGGAGAAGACTCCGTTCTCTTCCTCGTATAAAGTCTTCTATTCTAAACTATTTAGCTAGTAGATAGTCTTATTTTTATTATACCCTTGCAGAGGGTATTATATTTTTGTCGTGAAATGTGTAACGCATAGAAGGAGACATCTCCGACCCCATAAAGTATATATATTCTTGATCAGTATCAACAGCCGAGTTGTCCGTCTGTCTGTTTCTATGCGAACTAGTCTCTCAGTTTTAAAGCTAGCTTTATAAAACTTTGCAGAATTCCCTGTTTCTGTTGCACGCAGTTCATTTGTCAAAACCAGCTGGATCGGACCACTATATCATATAGCTGCCATAGGAACGATCGGTCGAAAAGTAGGTTCTTGTATGAAAAACATTTTTGTTTATAAAGTTATCTTTACTAAACTTGGTATTTATTAGTTTTACTACGTTCCCCATATATATGCGAAATCCTATTAAGATCGGACAACTATATCATATAGCTGCCATAGGAAAGATCGGTCGAAAATTAAGTTTTTGTTTGGAAAATTTTTATGTTTTTCAAGATATCTTGACCAAACTCGGTACTTATTAGTTTTACTAAGCTCTCCATATATATGCAAAATTCTATTAAGATCGGGCAACTATATCATATAGCTGCCATAGGAACGATCGGTCGAAAATTAAGTTTTTGTATGGAAAATTTTTATGTTTTTCAAGATATCTTGACCAAACTCGGTGTTTATTAGTTTTACTACGCTCCCCATATATATGCAAAATCCTATTAAGATCGGACAACTATATCATATAGCTGCCATAAGAACGATCGGTCGAAAATTATGCTGTTGTATGGAATTTTTTTTGTTTTTCAAGATATCCTCCCTCCACTTATGCAAAATCTTATTCACATCGGGCTACTATATCATATAGCTGCCATAGGAACGATCGGTCGAAAATTAAGCTGTTGTATGGAAACCTGTTTTGTTTTTCATGATATCTTAACCATACTCGGCATTGACTATTTTCCCTGTGCTTCTTAGATACGGGCAAAGCACTATGAGCATTTTGAAAAGGTTGGGTCTGCAAGGGTATTAAATCTTCGGTGTGCCGAAGATAGCACTTCTTTCTCGTTTTTTTTTGTAATTGTTTTTGTGCATATACTCGTAGTTTGTATTCGTTTTTTACTTTTTTACTTTGCAACTCGTGTCGTACGTTACACAACTGCGCCCCTCGGTCAAAAAAAAAAAAAAAAAAATATAATATTTAAGTACTGTACACACATGTCTGAGTTTATAAAATTATTTTGTGATATACGTATTTTTGTTTACATATAATATTGGCTATTTAAGGATAATATAAATATGTTTATTGGCATATAAATATGAATTTTGTTAAATGGTTATTTATTGTAATTAATTTGACTTTTAACGAATTATATAATTGAAATAATATTATTCAAATAACAGCCAATTGGTAGAAGTTCAATTTAATAATTCAATGCCCATTTCATGAAAATCATAGTTAGTATAACACAAAAAATGTTTATAGTGTCATTATTATAAAATATTAATTAATTAATTATTAAATATTATGTGTTTTATGTTTCTATGATGAGCATGAGTGTGTTTCTAAAACAATCAGCAAAAGATCAATTGTGATTAGTTAAGAAAGGTTAAGAAACGAAGTATGGTATTTTAATGGAAATAAGATATATACTTTTGTATTGTCGTTAAATGAGTAACTATCAACCTTTGGTAAGTGTAATGATCTTATTCACCTCTTTTGGTTTCTCTTCTTTCATAATGTCCAGGGAGTTCTCAGTACTACGATTAAGGTTATCCTTGCCGGTCTTGGCCAACTGCGGTGTGGAACTGTTAGGGTGCTTACGAACATCCAGCTCGTTACGCATAGTTTCGTAGCGACGCAATTCGAAGTCGATGATATCCATGCACAGCGACCCTATCTGTTGCGCAATGATCTTAAAGATTATGATAAAAATTTTACTTGCTTAAACTTACCTTGTACTGTACAATAAGTGGATGAAACTTGGTGTAGGTAGAAAAACAAAAGAATATATAAATAATGTTTGTGGATAAGTCTAAGCTTTTCCGCCAATCTTCGCGCAGCACTCGGGATAACGCACTGAGGCAGGCCTCTACAAAAACAGAGGTAAGTCAACAATTTGCAACTTGCATACAGCAAAAAAAATAAGAATTTAACAAGTTACCACTTTTTTCTAACTCTTCGAGATTATCGGCATTCCGAGCCATCTGAAGTATCATGGCAGATCCGCGTACTCGCTCACTCAACTCTTCGTAGAGTAGATCGACATACTCCTCAATGTTGGTAATGGTGACATCCGCCGTTGATATAGCTGACGTTGTGGCCCCATTAGACCCCGATCCCATAGTTATACTAGATATGGCCCCCACACTGTTATAAGATCGCGCAGAAGAGCGCGTATAAGATGTGTGCAGCGCCGCCGATTTACGATTGTTTGTATGTGGATTGTCAGCAATATCTGCGTTTTTTTAATAATAAATAGGTTTATAGCCGTTAATAAGTTATTGGAAAAGCTGGTCCTCACCATTGTATTTACGGTTCTTAAGGTAGAATATGATTTGCTCCACTTCGTTAAGCTGCGACTTGTGTATAAGCTCACATTTTTCCACCACTTCGCGAGCAAGGGCAGCGGGATCTGTTTTGATATTCAGCGAACGCAGGCGTATTGTTTTCTGACAATGCTTCAATGTGTAATCATGCATTAAACATATGAGATAAGCAACAAGTATTAATAAATTTAGATATATTTAAGAATATTGCATTGCGACGATGCGCCTGCATAGGTTGAAATTATTACTTTTTGAAATTTTAAAATGGAAACATTTTATTTTACAGTTATTTAAACAAAAAGCTATATGAATTATTGTCAAACTTAAAATAAAATTTTGGTTTTTATTTTATTCTGTAATATTCACAAGTAATCTAGGAAACACTAGTAAAAGTAAAGTAATAGAATGTTAACCTCGGTCTTGTGTTTCAAACCTTTTTCTCCTCAATCATGGGATTGTTGGGTTCTCCAAAAACGGTGGCCTCGAGCTGATAGTTCACTATTAGTGCCATGTCCGTGGGGTGCGGTTCTATACAGCCGCCTTTCCAGCGTCTGTAACAACAAAATGTATTAATTGAGAAGAATATATTTCCATCCATCTTTAAATCTTAACTAACATTTTAGCATCCGAAAATGCGTAGTTTAAGTCGGAGAAGTTTTAAATGAAAACTAAGTGAAAGAAGGCACTAATCTCATGTTATGTTTTAGTATGTATGTATATCGCGATAATTTGTGATGGTACCCAATAGTTAGATGGATAGCTGTATTGTCTCGGAAGCTTATGAGCTTAGTTTTTGTTTCAGGCAGTATCGAACCACTATGCAATATAGCTACCGTAATAACGACCAGCCGAAAAACAATTTTGTTTTTGAATATGTAACTAATTATTAATCTACAAATCACAATCACAGATGAAACCTAAAATTTTAAGAAATTATATAAACATTTCCATGGACTTAAAACACAGATTTCCTACGGAGCCAACCTCAGTACACAACATGCATTCATATGTGAATACAAATTTGGAATAGGTCATGATCAGCGCTAGAAAACTAACAAAATTTATTTCTTCACCAGCCAAAGTCAGAGCGGTGAATAACAACACATATATACATATTTTGATGTAGTTATGCATGCATAATTCACACATACAAACATAGGTGCTTGCACGCCATTGGCTTAGACAAGAACTTCTCTCGAGCATACAGTGTCCACAAGCAAAAATGTAATCAATCTATGTGTGCTATTTTCCTAACATAGTTATTAAACAAGTTGCGCTTTGCGAAAAATTATTTTATTCTTTAATTTTCCTGTAAAATTTATCGTTAGTATCATTTAAATAAAGCATGCATTTCATGGATAAAGTAGAAGTACTTTGCGTCGATCTTAAGTTCAACATTTTTTCGGTTAATGTACTTCGAAAACGAAGCGACGCAAAGCACCATCGACCAGCTTTGCTGAAGGCAGGCTGGCGACTAACTTCGTTGCTCGTGTCAGCATCAGCAAGCCGCGACTTTGGCATTCGTTCGTCTGAACGAACAGCCATCGGCAGGCATGTCGTGTGAAGCCTCAAAGGCCAGAGGAAAGGACAGGCTAGAAATTTTGCGTCGCATTCAAATGTATGGGTGTTACTCATCTTAGTGTTTATATTGTCTTTGGTTCAAGGGATCCCAAAGTCGAGAACTCCCGACTAGAGCCTCTTACTTGTTCAATATTTCGAAAACTTTAAAAATTATGTGTTTCTGCCATATTATTAAAAAACTTTTACACCAATAAAGAATCAATAGATACACCCATAATTGGAACCCATGTAACGATAAACTTTGAATAGCATCGACACGCCAAGGATTTCATACGCTTGTGGACATTTGGCTTACTGTTTTTCATATAAGTAAAAAAGAAAATAGTGGAACTAATAATGCTAAGCTCGGTACAGGTATTTTGGAAAACAAACAAGTTTTTTCTCACGAGAACTTAATTTTCAACCGATCGTTACTATATCAGCTATGTCCGATCCGGCCGGTTCCGTCATGCGTACTACCTGCTATGTATCAATGGGTAGATAACTAAAATTGATATTCTATTTGTGTGTATGCACATGTATACAGAAATTCTTGCGCTTTTCGCTAGCTACCTAATGGCTTTCTAATAACCACACGTTTTCTTTAATGACTTCGGTGTTTATTAATAGATTTTGATTATATTTTCTGCAGTAGATTTTATTGTGCTTTAGAAAATTTGTATATTCACAAAGAATCCAATTGACTTAATTATCTGTTTAAATCGATGTGGGAGCAAAAAGTGAACTGTGCCGAAACCCGCACACGCTTACATTTAAATTTATCCCCGTTACTGCCCAGCCATCTCCCATTCTACCTCTACTAGGAGAGCGCAGTGGACCGCATATTGGCTTTGCCACCCCACTGTCATTTGGTGTACTAATATACTTAACACCTATATACATATATATATCATAAGCATACCCCAGCTTTGATTTCCGATAATTCCCTAGGAAACCGATATACATTTCCATTTCTCCACTCTGTGATTTTGGCCTTTCGTCTCCTTTCAGGTGACACTGTTTAAAAGAAATACTACCTGCGCAACGCATGCAAGTTTTTCTCACGCCCCCCTGAACTATGTCTCACCTGTAAGTGCTCTCTGAATGAGCGCTGCGATTAGTAATTTCGGCAAAAAGTTTCCAACTTGTGCCTTCGACTTAAGCCTTTAAAGCTTCGCTCGCTGTATTTTAAGCAATACCCACGCCTTAAAATCTGGAGACTTATGCTGTTGACTCGTCATCTCATGTAACAACTCGCGATAATTAGCAGCCTGATATCTAGAGTCGGGAATACCAACAAATCCTGCGGCTCACCCTTTACCTCTTTCCGCTTCTTATAACGTGCCAGGCACAACGTCCTTTCTGTAACGCGTAGGAAGAGGAATTTTTGAAGGTCAAGTGAGCAGTAAGCCAGTCTTCCGCTTGCGTCTTTAAGACTCGCGTGGGGAAACAAAAATTGGTTTTGGTAAGATTTGCGTCCTTCAAGCATTTAGTCGCCAAATTTAAATATTTTAAGTGCGTCATTAAAGTACACGAAGGCTTTGGATTTCAAAAGACGCCTAAATAACCTTATCCATCAGTCTGCATAATCCCAGGACTGCCATTTTCCAGTTGCTCCAGGAGCTGTCGCTTCTTTCGATGATGCCTAATTGCAGCATTTTATGCACTTCGGCCCACATGAACTTCTGCGTTGCTTTTGGTTCCCTCGATCAGCAGCTTCTGATGCTGCAACAGGTGAGTCTTCCCAGGCCATCCTTTCCGAATTGATGATATTCGTGCTTTAGATTCTTCAACATGCTCCTCTCCCAGGTACCAAATTTCCGGATCAGTCATAACGTCATCACCATCTAGATAATAGCTCACTTCTAAGTTAGATATCGTTATCTAAGATGTCTCCGGACGCACCTTGACCTTGCTATAGTTCTGGAAGTTAGTAAAATATGAGCTCTTCTTTTTAATACCTTATTTTACCGGAAGAACGACGTGACCTAAAATTGGCCAACTGGCTGACCTCGCCATCAACGGGTATGGGGTACGGGGTGTCTCATTGACAACTACAACTACAACTATTTTAATTAAATTTAGTTTGAACACCGCTAAGAATTTTGAGCACAGACTGTGAAATGTAAAACGAATACTTCTTTATTTTGTTTGTTTATGCACCTACTAATAACTACAAATCTTACTAACATCAATATCTTCTAATAATATCAACAAAAACACAACAACAACAAACACAACTTAACACAACAAAATTACTCACGTTTTTTTCATTTTTTCAACAAAAATCATACACTCAACAAGGGAAAAATCATACACTCCACAGGCTGAACAAATCTCTATGCACAATCCTGACAGTGGACAAATATTTAAGCGTCATATGCTTAGTTCGTCAGCCTACTGACCATGAAGTTTATTCGACTTCTGCCGCATTTCTGACCACTGTTGGGTGTGTCACAGATGCGGAGCAGGAGTGAATCTGTATCGTCCTGGGTCATCTGGATGCAAAGCTTTTCTTAACTACGACCAGTACACACCCAACTTAGACACAAAATAAGACAAAGCAAACAGTAAGTAATAAATAACATTTAGTAACACTACGATAATATCACATCTTTTATTTCGTTGCGGTTTCCACCAGACTACAAAGAACAGTCACGAACGTTTCGCCAACATACGATCGTGTCATACCGCCATCAACCACAATGAAAAAAAATTCCTATGTCAAAGGACATCATTCCCGGATCTGCCTTCTCACTGCGCAACTATGGAACATCAATACATGCCATAAGAATTCAGGTGATAGGTGCAAATAACAAAATGTTATTATATCTTTAAAAATTAGTGAAACACTGGACGGACCCACAAAAATAAATATATGTATAAAATTTATATTATTTATATATTTAAATTTATATATAATTTAAACTATAAATAATATGTAAGAGTATGTGGAAAATTGTATACAGCTTAGGCTACCTTGCTCCAAAAGAACTCTCTGAGTCAAGGGGCGATAGGGAATTTTTATATGTATGCCTATATTTATACCCTGAACCAATTAAAAATGGGTAAAAAGAGTATAAAGTATTTGTGCAAATGTATGTAACAGGCAGAAGGAAGCATCTCCGACCCCATAAAGTATATATATTCTTGATCAGCATCAATAGCCGAGTCGATCTAGCTATGTCCGTCTGTCTGTCCATCCGTCGGTTTTTCCGTATGTATGAACGCAAGGATCTCAGAACCTATAAAAGCTAGGGACTTGAAATTTTGAACGTAGGTCCTTCTAGTGCCCAGTAATCTTAAAACATGTAAGAGCTTGAGACTCCAAATTTTGGAAGTATGTCCTTCTAGTGCCCAGTAATCGATAACTTGCCCGTTTCTGAGCAATCGATTAAAACCGATATGGAAATACTGTTTTTTTGAGAAAATTTCGTAAGAGTATAAGAGTATATGTAGCTTCTTGAATAATATATATAAATCAAATATCTTTCATTTTATAACTATCACCATCAACAGCCCATTTGACATAGCCATGCCCGTATGCCTGTTTCTATGCACACTAGACAACAGTTTAAAATCTATCATCTAGAAACTTTCCATAGGTCTGTCTTTTTGTTTCAGGTAATACATATGTAGCTGCCATAAGAATAATCGGTCCAAAAGTAGGTTCTTGTACGAACAACTTTTTATTTATCAAGATGTCTTACCCAAAGTATTCATTTATAAGTTTCACTATGCTCCCTAAAAATTTCCAAAATCTTATCAACATCGGACTTCTATATATCATATCATGCCATCATGCCATAGAAACGATAGGTCAAATATGGAAACCTGTTTTTATATTAAAATAACTTGACCAAACTCGTGATTTATTAGTTCCATTATGATTCACATATATATGCAAAATGTTATCAAACATCGTAACACAATATCAAATATTCATATAATTTAGTTATATGATTTAATTTAATAAGCAAATTCTGTTTAA